GAGCCCAGGCTGGTCTTAAGCTCCTGGACTCAGGCGATCCTCCTGTCTCAGCCTCCCAAAGTGTTAGGATTACAGATGTGAGCCACTGTGTTGGGCCTTTGCCCAGCTATTTTGATGCCCAGACCTGCTTCACCTTTGTGTATGGTGCCAGGGGGCTTCCTGAGCTTGGTGTATTTTTGTTGTGTGTTTGTTTTTTAAGTTGGGAGTTGTTTGCGGGGGGGAAATTGTCTTTCTCCTGACATTCAACGCCAGACAACTTATATGCATCCACTAGCTACCTTGGATTGTAAATCCTAGGTTATTCTTGGGAAAAGTTGCTTAAAAAAAATAAATAAATGTTTGGGTATAACTCTTACTCTGTAAATAATAATACATGGGCAGCATCAGGGAGTTTATATTACTCCCTCTTCTGTTCCCTATTATGCATTTAAGGTTGGGGGCAAGAAGGACCCTCTGGACACCATATAAATGATCTCTAAAATTGTTACTATATTTTATTATTGCATCCTGTCTGGAGACCAGAGTAAAGTGACCTGAGTGACAATCCCACATCTCCCAGTGATTTGCTTGGGACTTTAAGTGAATAATTTAATCTTCCTAAATCTCAATTTTCTCAATAGTAAAGTGAGGAGGTATAGGATTGCCAGGCAAGAACTACCCCTTCTATGTCTATGTCAGACATCACTAATCGATGACTGTGTTCTTTTCCACTGAGCCAGGACTCAAACTCAAACCCAGCCCATAGGGCAGTCACAGATCTGGACTAGATGATCTCCAAAGGCACCTTCAGATACGGTGGTTTAAAAAAGAATGGAGTAAGCCAAGCCAGGAGAAGCCTTCAAATGGTTTCTTTTGTGATCATGTCATTCTATGCGTTGGAGGAGAAGACAATGTTAGCTGAAGTTCCAATACTAAAGTTTCACCAGGGCTTTTTTCCAAGCCACTGTTCCTGTATTTCCTTGCCAAGGAGTTAGGCAAGGGGCAGGTCTGCAGGTCGCATGTTGCATCTATAACTCTAAAGTTCATCTTCCTTTCTATCGTGGGGGTTGCCACTGGAGAATTTGGGTTTTCAGTCCTAATAATTTAAAAAGAATTCTTGGCCGGGCGCGGTGGCTCCCGCCTGTAATCCCAGCACTTCGGGAGGCCAAGGTGGGCGGATTACCTGAGGTCAGGAGTTCAAGACCGGCCTGGCCAACATGGTGAAACCCATCTCTACAAAAATTCAAAAAATTAGCGGGACATGATGGCGGGTGCCTGTAATCCCAGCTACTCAGGAGACTGAGGCGGGAGAATTGCTTGAACCCGGAAGGCAGAGGTTGTAGTAAGCTGAGATTGAGCCATTGCACTCAACAGAGTGAGACTTCATCTCAAAAAATAAATGAAGACATAAAAAGAATTCTTACCTGCTCTTTTTTTTTTTTTTTTTTTTATTCCGAGACAGAGTCTTTTTCTGTTACCCAGGCTGGAATGCAGTGGGGTGATCTTGGCTCACTGCAACCTCCACCTCCCCGGTACAAGTGATTCTCCTGCCTCAGCCTCCTGAGTAGGTGGGATTACAGGCATGTGCCACCACGCCTGGCTAATTTTTTGTATTTTTAGTAGAAACTGGGTTTCACCATGTTAGCCAGGCTGGTCTCGAGCTCCTGACCTCAGGTGATCTGCCGCCTCGGCCTCCCAAAGTGCTGGGATTATAGGCAGGAGCCACCGCACTCGGCCATTCCGCTAATATTTGTGTTTTTAAGTAGCGACGAGGTTTCACCATGTTGGCCAGGCCGGTCTCGAACTCTTGACCTCAAATGATCCACCTGCCTCGGCCTCCCAAAGCGCTGGGATTACAGGTGTGAGCCATCGCCCCCGGCCCTCACCTGCTTTTTAAAGTGATTGTTCAGAAGCATTTCTTGCTGTTTTGGAATCTCTATCATTAGATGACATTCTCCACCTTTCAGCAAGTGGCTTAGTTTTTAAAATTTGGTTTTTTTTCTCCATCCTGACTTGGCTCAAAAGTCTTTTGGGAATGGCGTGGCCAAAATGGTGAGAGAATCAGAACTTCTTGGGGTCCAGGCTGGCTTCAGATCTCTCAAAGGGAGCCCTTCTAACCAGACAAGAGGCCAAATACAGATAATGATTACTCTTTCACTTAAACGGGAAGGATTGCCAGGGGCAGGTGGCAGTTTATTTTTTCTATAACAGCTGTATTCAGATACAATTTACATGCCACAAAATTCACCCTTTTAAAGTGTACGACTCAGGGGATTTTAGTGTATTCCAAGGTTACATAGCCATCACCACTAATTCATTTTTATCACCCCAACAGGTTCTGCCCGTCTTCCTATTCCTGCAGCCTCTTTGTATTTGGGTCTTGATTGTGGAGGGGGCTGGACAATTGTGAAACTTCTCAGCAAAATGGGTTGCATTTGCTTCTTGTTACCTAGTGACAGTCTAATGCCCGTTAGCACCTGTCAGTCTTTTTTATGAGACAGGGTCGGCTGGATGAGGTGGCTCACGCCTGTAATCCCAGCACTTTGGGAGCCCGAAGTGGGTCTGAGTGGAATGCTTGAGTTCAGGAGTTCAAGACCAGCCTGGGCAACATAGTGAGACCTCCCCCCTGCCCCCCGCCCCATCTCTAAAAAAGAAAAAAAAATTATTTACATTAAACAAACAAAAAAAAGAGACAGAGTATCTCTCTGTTGCCCAGGCTGGAGTGCAGTGTCACGATCGTGGCTCACTGCAGCTTCAGTCTCCTGGATTCAAGTGATCCTCCCACCTCAGCCTCCCAAAGCCCTGGGATTATAGGCCTGAACCACCACACCTGGACACCTGTCAGTCTTGAGTGGTCATCAGAATCACCTGGAGGGCTTGTTAAACCACAGATGCTGGACCAGGTGTAGTGGATCACTCCTGTAATCCCAGCACTTTGGGAGGCTGAGGTGGGAGGAATGCTTGAAGTCAGGAGTTCAGGACTGTCCAGGACAACAGAGTGAGACCCACCCCACCCCCCATCTCTTTAAAAAAAAAAAAAAAGTTAAATAATTGCTGATTTGTTCAAAATAAATAAATAAAACAAAAAGGGCCGCTGCTCTCCCACAGTTTCTGATTTGGGTGTTTTGGGGTGAGGTTTGATAATTTGTGTTTCTAACACTCTGCGGCCGCTGATCTGGGCTTTTGAACGTGTTCCGTTTGCCTGGGAACCCATCCTCACCTTTCCTTGGCTGATTCTGCTTGTCCATCAGATCTCAGTTTGGCTTCCTGGGGGAAGTGTTTCCTGACATTTGCCCTAGTTGGACTTAGGAGCCCTTTCTCTGAGGCCTTATCTTGGTGTTTATCACACTGCATTGTAATTGCCAGTTTATTGTCTCTTTTCTTCACTAGACTGTGAACTCTTGGAGGTTTCTGTGTGTTGTGTCCACCATGGGGTTCCCAGTGCCTTGCCCAATGTGGGCACACAGTCCCTACTGCCAGTCCATTCTTGCGTGGAGCTTCTGAGAGAACTTGAACTCTAGGGCCGTTTGAGATGAGGGGAGAGGGAGAGGCAGAGAGAGCAGCAGGACAGTGGAAGCAAAGCCAAAGCCCTCTTCTTTCTACCCCTTCTGGGTTTCTAGGCAAATAAAGCCACTTGGGTTCTCTTTTTTTTTTTTTTTTTTTT